GTTTTTTTGTTTTCCCCCCCTCCATTTTTTTTTTTAAAAAAAATTTTTTTTTTTTTTTTTTTTTTTTTGGTCAAAGATGGGCTCTACGTCACCTTAATGGTGAAAATATTATCTTCCCTGGGTCCAGTGTTCCCTTCTCGACTACTGCTTCATTTAGGCAGATTCCCTGGAACTTCTTAAAGTCCTAAAAGATGTACCTGTGGCTCAGATCCGTAAGGCTGGTAACTGGTCTTCTGTTTCACATTCTTAGTTTTACAGGAGTGATGCATCTGCCTTGGCATATGCTAGTTTCTACCTAAAAAAGGTCTGCAAGTGGCTATTTAATGCTCTTGTTTTTTTAATTTGTTTGGCTCTTTGATGTACCCACCCTCCTAGTTTTTAGACTGCTTCTGGATGTCCCTGGGTTGCTTGTTAATTTAGTCCCTCAATGGATAATAGAGAAATAGAATTTCTGTACTCTTCTCGGGGTTCATAGAAGCAAACTGCATTATTAATGATCAATCTATGGCTAAACTGCTGCCAACAGGAGAAATGGACACTGGGTTCTTGGAAGGCTATAACCACTCCTATCTCACACCAAGCATTCCATAGATTCAAAGTACAACCCGTGGGTTGCCTCAATATAAGCACCCTGCCTTAACCTCTTCCCCCTAGAATACGTAGAGTGAGAAAATGAAAGAATAGGGTTTGCGGAGGGGTATAACAAACCAAATAAAAATATCAAAATGTATTTGAACATACAGATAATAGTTAAAATTTAATTCAATTCATGAATGATACAATGCCTATCCGAGAATTGGGATATACATATACCCAGTGAGCACATTCACAGTCCCTAAACTTATGCTAACATGGTTATATTAACAGAACTAGCATTGGTACAAATTTGTATCTAACGTGATTGGACCAATCAAGTTAGATACAAAGTTTAGGGACTGTGTGCTCACTGGGTATATGTATATCCCAATTCTTGGATAGGCATTGTATCATTCATGAATTGAATTCAATTTGAGCTATTTATTATCTGTATGTTCAAATAAATTTTGATTTTTATACATATCTTTATATTTGCATGGATTGTTATACCTCTCCGCAAACCCTATTCTCTTTTAATTTTCTCAAGCATTCCATAGAGGAAAGAATAGCATGTAAGGGACGGGAGCTGTGTGCCGCAATGGACTCCTTAATTTCCTAAAAATCTTAATTTTTCCTAATGGCTGATCAATTTAATTGCTTGCAAATGTTCATTTTTGTTTGCACCTGTAGGACTTTCGAACACCAACATCTGCCATTAAAGAGAGGTTTTTGCAAAGGACGCCAAATTCTTTGCAGAAGAGAAGGTCTGATGTGACTTGGAAACCCACTCAGAGTATCGCACTGCCGCATACCCCAACACTTTGTAAACCAGATGGTTTGCGAACAGCACGTCTGCAGCTTGCACAGCAGGTTTGTGGTCCCATTCTACTAAATGCAGTACAAGTTATATTGGCTGATCACTACAGCTAAACCTCTCCCTACTGCTTAGTAAAAGGAAGACTAAGATATACCATATACTTTAATGATATAAGATAAAAACTGTCTATAAAAGTCCAAACTTTAAATGTAAAACACAACCCCTGGTTGATGGCATAAAATAGATTGTGATTATTAAATAGTCTTTCAGCTATACTCCTTGAAATCAAGAGAAATCCGCCTTAGAGGATACATAGAAAACAAGAAAGAGTTGGGGTTTAATGAGGCGTCATAGCCATTGCAAAAGTAAAATCAAAATAAATGTATTACAAATTCGTACAGTATATCAGTGAAAAGTTTTTGCATTATAAAATTATATGCATTATAAAAAAAGTTCCCCACATTATCCTAGATACGTCGCCAGAGAAATACATATATACATATCAAATTGGGAGATTCACAATAATCTCGCATTGTGGTAATTCTGGCCGACTTGCATGTCAGGCATAAATCCCAATGCGTTTCACTATAATCGCTTCCTCTAGGGACTGGAGGTAACTGATCTAATAACATACAATTACTTAACAATCCATGATACATAGATTTATAAAAAAAATATATTTTGTTATCTGTTATGGATTAAGTAATTGTATGTTATTAGATCAGTTGCATCCAGTCCCCTGAGGAAGCGATTATAGTGAAACGCATTGGTATTTATGCCTGCTTTGCAAATCGGCCAGAATGACCACAATGTGGGATTATTGTGAATCTCCCAAGGAAGTTGTGTGTGGGTGTCTCGGTACTTATGTTTTTACGATGCAAAATCTTTTATGGATATCCTGTAAGAATATGTAATACATTTATTTTTGATTTTACTTGTGTAATGGCTGACAACTCAAACCCCAACTCTTTCTTGTTTTCTATGTATCCCCTTTATACAGTATGCTAGAGCTACCAGTTATTGCCAGATTTTGTTGTCCAAACATTTCCTTTTTTGTTTTGCAAATCAATTTATTTATAGCAGAGACGGCTACAGAAGTAATGCATGCTTACAGCCATCTGAACAGTGGCAGGGTCTCTTGAAATCTCACCCCTTCACTCACTAATGCTCCTTCCCTGTGCTCCCTGCCAACCTGTTCCTTCGAAGCTGTGTATTCAACTGTGACAGAGCTTACACAGGGTTAATGACTTGCCACATGTGACAGTGTGTTTGAGAACTCCCTCCTGACATTTTAGTAAGACCATAATTTTACTTTATTTGTTATGCCTGCCATTATTTTATGTTTCATGCTAATGGAATTTTTTTTTCAGGTGGCTGATTTAATAGTTAATGACCCCCCAAAATCTCAGTCGGGACGCGGAATGGAGCTTGATGATTTGCTTGGCATGCTCTCTTCTGATCCCTTCCTATCTAAAAAAGAGATTCCTCGCACTCCAGAAAACTTGAGTAAGTTCATTTGTTTTTGCTTTATGTAGAATAAAACTTCCACACCACCCATCTATTGGACTTCTTCAGATCTAATTAGTCATCACAGTAATTCACATGGTTAAAAATTCTTAATAGCAACACTTCTCTAGCATGTGCAGCCTGTAATGCAAGTACCTTTTTAATTCTTGCTGTATGTTTAGCACAGCTTGGAAATTGAAGGTTAATATAAACCTCCATGCAAAAAATAAAGCGTATACATTAGGCAATACATGTTTAATTTACGCCAAAACTCTAATTGTAATATATTTTATGCAAAGTTCTCCAAAGCATGTTTCACTCACTCCATTATTCATATTGTAGATTTATTAGAACTTTAATGGTAATATACACTGCTCAAAAAAATTAAATGAACACTTTTTAATCACAGTATAGCATCAAGTCAATAAAACTCCTGGGATATTGATCAGGTCAGTTAAGTAGCAGAAGGGGTTGTTAATCAGTTTCAGCTGCTTTGGTGTCAATTAATTTAACAGGTGCACTAGATGGGCAATAATGAGACGACCTCTAATTGCAAGATTCTCAGACATGACTCCCGGAGAGAGATGCATCATGGGATTTGTAGTTTCACCACAGCTGGAGGGCCGGAATTTGGCTACCCCTGCTATAGAGGTTGCACAGGCATGCCAACTCCTCCAAGATGGCACATCAATACGTGCCATTGCCAGAAGGTTTGCTGTGTCTCCCAGCACAGTCTCGAGAGCATGGAGAAGATTTCAGAACACAGGCAGTTACTGTAGGAGAGCTGGGCGGGGCTGTTGAAGGTCGTTAACCCGTCAGCAGGAGCAGCATCTACTCCTTTGTGCAAGGAGCGACAGGATAGGATGAGCACTGCCGGAGCCCTACAAAATGACCTCCAGCAGGCCACTTGTGTGAATGGCTTTGACCAAACGATCAGAAACAGAGGCCTGAGGGCCCAACGTCCTCTAGTGGGCCCTGTGCTCACTGCCCGGCACCGTGGAGGTCGATTGGCATTTGCCATTGAACACCAGAATAGGCAGGTCCACCACTGGCGCCCTGTGCTTTTCACAGATGAGAGCAAGTTCAACCTGAGCACATGTGACAGACGTCTGCAGAAGAGAACGTTATGCTGCCTGTAACCTCGTTCAGTATGACCGGTTTGGTGGTGGGTCACTGATGGTCTGAGGAGGCATATCCATGGAGGGACGCACAGACCTCTACAGGCTAGGCAATGGCACCCTGACTGCCATTAGGTATTGGGATAAAATCCATGGACCCATTGTCAGACCCTACGCTGGTGCAGTGGGTCCTGGGTTCCTCCTGGTGCACGACAATGCCCGGCCTCAAGTGGCGAGAGTATGCAGCCAGTTCCTTGAGGATGAAGGAATTGATGCCATTGAATGGCTCCCACGCTCGCCTAACCTGAATCCAATAGAACACCTCTGGGACATTGTCTCGTTCCATCGGACGCCGCCAGGTTGCACCTCAGTCTGTTCAGTAGCTCAGCGATGCCCTGGTCCAGATCTGGGAGGAGATACCCCAGGACACCATCCGTTGTCTCATTAGGAGCATGCTCCGACGTTGTCGGGCATCCATACAAGCACGTGGAGGCCATACAAACTGAGCACCATTTTGAGTTGCTGCAATGAAATGTCAGCACAATGGACTAGCCTGCTGCATAATTCGTTAACTTTGATTTTTGGGATGTCTTTGAATTCAGCCCTCTGTAGGTTGTTAATTTTAAATTTCCATCAAACGATGTGGCATCCTTTAATTCCTAACACATTACCCAGTCCAGTATACCGTAGATATCCAGCATGATATTTTTTCCCCATTGAGATCTGATGTGTTTTCAAAGTGTTCCTTTAATTGTTTTGAGCAGTTTATATTATGAGAAGTCCTTCAGAACGTGTTTCACTCTTCATTCTTCAAAATGTGTACTCGCCAAAGGTTGGAATCTAGGGTGTGGAGCATGTTTTAAGGATCTCACAAAATATTTATTACCGTATTGCATGGGGTTTGTTTTTATTCCAAGCTGTGGTGAATATACAATATGAGTAATGGAACTCTTATTACAGGCAGCACATGCTAGATATTGGTTTGTGAATTTTTGCCCTGCCTGCTAAAGGTATTTAGTGAAAAGTGCAGCTGTTAAAATCAAAGATGCATATTTTTCTAGGTTTATTTTTCTGTGATGGTTTGTTTAAAAGTTTAAGGTCTTAATGCCGCTGCCATACAAGATCAGTTGTGCGTTTGACAAAAATGTAGGATTTTTTTACTTTTCTGTCAAATTCTTTTATTGTAGAACAGGACACAGGAAATCATGACAATGGATGGGTTATATAGCTGTACCTTGGAGGCTGGACAGATGGAACTCAATATATTTCCCTCCCCACTTCTCCGATCAATTTTTAGTTTTTGGCAAGCAATAGACCAAAGATGGATATCTTTGTCCTGTATTGTATTTTAAGAAAAGGGTTTTACGGGTAAGCCAAGAATCCTACATTCTTGTTTGTACGGGGCACAGAAAATCAAGACTGATGGGTTGGAATAGAATCCCTGGAATCTTTCCAAAAGAGGAATGGGAGTGATAACCCCTGAACTTAGAAGCTGATGAAGAGCTTTTTGAAGCCCCCCCCCCCCCCCCCCCCCCCCCGCCCCCAGAACGAGAGGTAAGAGCAAGCGAG